TTGTCGTTTTGTGAATCAAGTCTGTTTGCTATCCCGGGCAAAAACGTAGCTTGGCCTGGGTGACCCCACTTATTCGCAGCTTAACCCTTCCGTTACGAGAGCAAATCTTGAATGCACAGACTATTTTTCACATGCTTGATATCAAGCATGTGAAAAAAAGTCTTAACGTAAAATTTGTATAGGAAAAAAAAGATCGGTGTCTGTATATTTGTGCAAGATCCTGCAATCGTACGTATTATGAACCCACATGCTTTATATCGAGCATGGTGAGTAAATTCCGTAAAGCCCATACGCGACATCATGCATGTGCAAATGGCTCTTTTATTGGGAATGAATCGTTTTTGACGGAGTCACGTGCAGAACGGCTACGAAAGCAAATTTGTGTATTGCATCTGTTTGCTAAAAGCAAGTCATTTGGGCTATTACCTACGCAGTTTCACTGTTTCCTACTTTTGGTGCTCTCTCTCTACCGCGTCGTCACCCCCAGTTTCAGTTGTCTCGCTCAGATCACTATCAGAATTTTCACCACCATCACTTCCCTCATTGCCGAGGCCTGCGGCCTCCTTCTCGTCCCCACCGCCCCCCTCCTCTTCACGACCCTCTTGTCCTTCCGCCCGCTTTTTTTTGGGGGGGGGGGGGGCTCAGCTGGATACCGCGGCCGTGGCGCGGCTGTGGGCGCTCGCTCTCATTGCGCCAAAGTTGGTGCCAAATGGGGAAGCAAGTCTGGTTGTTATTGGGGTAATGTGCTTGGCGCACCTTGTCACACAGGTAGACACTGCATTATACGTGTTAGATAGCAGTAGTAAGAAACATAGAGCATAGCTACGTACCGTTTTGACCCTTTACTGCAGCCAGGGCAGTAAAATCGCGTCACCTGCCGCTGTGTACTTGTTTTCCTTATAGTACAGACCTTGCACTGCCGTTGACGCCGCTTTCGAATTCCATTCACCTCCACCCACTCGTCGTCCTTCTTTAGCTGGTGGGTGGACGGTGGAACGTCGCCATGCAATGGTGTTACTGGTCTAGGTGAGTACATCTTTAAGCACATACAGTAATAGTTAGCAATGTGAAAATCCAGCAGAATAAGCACCTTCCTTACCGTGTCTGCGAATTCGGCCGACCCCACTTGTAGTAGCTGGGCTTGCAAATGAGCTATGAAACCGGTTACTTTGATTGGTCCTTACATAATAGACGTTCCTCTCAAGAAGTTGTAGCGAACTTTGTATCTATTAGATTAGACAAATCAGACCCTTCCACGATGCGCCAATTGTCAACGGAGTCCTTCCAGCGTTCGGCCTCCTCCTTACTTCGTGGAGGTCGCTGTCCCCCGCGACGGTTTGTTGTAGAAGCCGATGTCGACGTGGGTCTACGATTTGCCTGCGTTGTGTTTGTTGCACATGGCGGAGATGGCGACGTGTCACTATAGTCCAAATCGCTACCAACAGACGCATCGCGACAAACAATTACGATTATGAAGTGTGAGAAACACATCGTACGAAAAACGCATAATCTCCTCACCTGTCGGCTTCGTCATCAGCAGCGACGTGTGGACTTGTTGTCCGCGCAGATTAGTCAGCTCTTGAGCTTTTTGATGCTGCGCGCATACGCTTACCTTTTGCTTTGGTCGTGCCAGTCGCCTTTGCCGGTCTTTTCTTCTTCGCCGCCTTCTTCGGTGTTGTTATCTCTGCCGCTGTCGCCATGTCAAACTCAGCGTCGTCATTTCCTTGGTCTTTTCCCGTTTCCACGTAATCTTCATCTCCGCTGTCACTTCCATCCTCATCAGCAGAAGCAGCATCGGCAGCAAGCTCTTCTGCATACAATGCTGCGACAGGCGCCTTCCCTTTCAATCGCGGCGCTCTTGCCAGCAAATTGTAGTACTCCACTAGTGCGCCCTTCTTCTGGTACGTAGCTGGAGCAGGAGGCTTGCGTGAAGCCACTGTCATCCTAGGCCGCCTTCCTGTCGTTGCTGACGTAGGAGCTGAAACAAGCGGTTCACCCGCAACGTCGTCGCCAAAGTCAGCATCGCGGTCACGCGTACCGTCGACATACGCACGGTGCTCTTCAAGCAGCCGGGCGCGTTCTGCGCCTTCCTTCTCGTCGAGACGACGCAGGAACGCCTCCGCTTCAGCGCGCGTGACGCGGCGGGGAGGCATCTTGGTCCCGCGTCTCGTTTTGGAGAATGAATGGATGGCTCAGAGGCTTCTCGTTTGAAGCACCGTCTTTACGACAGCGTATCACCAAGGAACTTTCTCTTTACTGTTAGGACCCCAAGCCCTGTACACCGGGGAGTAAACGGACTAAACGCCCATTCTATGACGATCTTCACATGCTTGATTATCAAGCATGTGGAAAAAACCACATGCTTCCTTATCAAGCCTTAGTAACGGAAGGGTCAAAACTATACCCCTCCAAAATGTAAAATCGGATTCGCACTGACTCTTGCGCTAAACGTTCAAAGGTTCTGCTTGCGAGAACAAACTAGCCTCGGCAACTTAATTTGGACTTGGCTTTGGGCTGGGTTGTTTTCGAGGAGCTAAAAGTGGGTACGCTTCGTAACACCTCAGTCATACTAGCGTCCCTCCTCCACGGTGGGTGAATTGCAGCGATAGTCATAACGGGATAAAGCAAGACACTTGAGCGAAGTAATAACACTTGGCGACAGGAAAGTTTCATTGATACGGAAACGTCGCAGGAGCGCGTCCAGTTCGTCAAGAAAATAGTCAACATAACGACTGAGCTCGAAATCTTGCAAACACCGTTCTTCTCGACGAACTGATACCGTCTACGAGCTTTGAAAAAAAGAGCACTTATGTCGAGAAAAAGAGGACTATATTTTGAGTGATTGTAATGCCTTAGCTTCGTACTCGTTTTGACATTCCGTTACAACAACTGTGGGGTAATTCGTGTCCGTGGCCAAAAGCATCTTTATTGATGTACATTGGCGAGTTCAGAATCGGTGTTCTGTGTTTAGGCACATTCACAGTCTTTCACAAGTTCAGTTCAACATTTACCTCAAAACAGACCAATTCCACAATGTGGGCTGATTTTAGATGACTGGTTTTTTCGCGTAGGAGGTAAGAGCCTTAGCATCTATGAGTACAATCACAGCCATCCTGTTTACAAGGTTACCATGAAAAGTGAACACAAATTTGATTGCTCGGATTCAACAATGCAGATGTGACAGACTTCCTTTTTAGTTTAACGACCACGCCCGTAACCAGTGCCGATGAGTCTGAAGCGAGTCAACAGAAGCGAATTCGCTTAGAACAAGCTCCATGCGTCGAAGGTTTCGAGAGTTTCCGGAATTTTTAATGATCGAATGTACACACAAAACTAATGGTGAATTTGACAGTTTTTGCTGTTTTATGGGTTTCTCTTATAAAATATTCTGAATACGTATGTCTATAAATACGACTGTAGTCTCATTATAATGAGTATTACTTCCATGTGGACAATGCTTGGCTGATCTCGACTACCTCATTTTCGAAACCACACCAACAGTCGACTTGGGTCGAATTTTGGCAAGTCTAATATAAACCTAGAGAACTTCAGCAACTAAGAAAGAGTGTCTGGAAGTTATCATGTTTTTTTTTTTAGCAAGACGGACCCCGGTTCTGCGTGGTTTCCTACGCCATCAATAAGTGCAAATACAGTTTTCCTTAGGCAAGCACTGCATCTCTTGACCTTCCCGCGTCATTTTGAAGTTGGAAAGTTGCTTGTTTGGTTTCGTGATATTCTCCATCTCCTTTGACACTAAAAGTATAAAGGTACTCTGCTGGTAGTCCGTGCGGTAGATATCCCACGAAACCCAGTCGTCATGAGCCGCTTTTCCAATGAATGCCTTAGCGTAATATGCGTGCGTTTTTAGAACCGACTCATGGTCCATACGCGTCTCTACCATGTCACCAGGTCCTCCCGTAACGCGACTATCGGTGGTCGTGCTTTTTCACGCTATCTTCTCTATCGCACGTGCGACACCGCTCCTGCGGAGGAGCCGCTTGCATTTGATCAGGTACTCGGCTTGCCAAGACTCCAATTACCCAGCACTTACCGCCAAATCGCTTCCGTTGGCTGTTAAATCAGATAAACATAAATGGCTAGGAGAAGAAGATTGAACACCCTGTTTTGTGTCGTGTTGAGCTAACTATTACCTGGTCTTGAGATTATAGTAGCCATTTTGCCAATATGTATAACCTGGCAGCGCGATTATCGTAAACGATTTACCAACATATTTAACCTGGTACATGTAGCAGCCTCCTTATTAATAAAAGCAATTGTTCAATCTGCTAACCAGAACCTGATCAAAAATAATCTACCAACCTGCTCAACTGGTAGCAACCTGTTCAAATTTAAATTGTTTAACCTGCTAATAACTGTTCAACCTGACCGGATAGCAGTACATGTACACAATGACAGGCCCTTTCCAGTCAGAATAAGAATAGTACTACACGTAATTGTAAACTTGTATTAAGTAAAGTAGCACCACGCGATGTGGCCTCTGCCAGCTTATTCATATGATCGGCTTGGGACATCTTTGATGATGTGGCATACTTGCAAGTTGCCTATGATAGGCAACTCTATCCCGGCTACAAAAACTCAGTCCATCACTTGTAACGAAAGGGCCACTCCTCGCAGTGAAAATTCAACCTTGTTTTCATCATGTACCGACGTAAGTTAACGCCTGCCGAACAGGAGGCGCGTCGCGTCAAGAATCGCGTGGGTATGCGCAAAATCCGCCAGCGGCAGCGCCAAGAATTACTAGAGATGAAAAGCACTGTGGTCGAGCTTGAGAAAGAGTATGCGGAGCTGTGCCGTCGAGCTGAAGCCGCTGGAAGAGACACCGTGCTGGCTACACTACAAATGGAAGACGGCGGCGAACAAACCCACCCAGATTTGGCGGCAGTTGCAAAACAACTTGGGGCGGAGAAACTTCTTTTACGATCGATGCCGAAGCAAAAAGCAGCATGGACGCTCCAGATACAACGCGTGCTAGACTTTGAGGCGAGTAGTTTGGCCGCAGCACAGAAGTTCCAGAGCAATGTGGATGTCCCACTAGACACTGTGGACGAAGTTCAGGCCGAGGAAGAGTTGGGATTTCACCCACTGACGGAGTGGGATCTAACGCGTACGATTCTAGACAACAAAAGAGATATCCGCCACGTCGAAAGTCGACTGAACCCACCGTCCGGACTTGTGGACAAACCCACGCACCGAATGCAAGCCTTTGGCTGGGATATCATACAGCGCGTCGAGGGAAGCGTGATGGAGTTTGTCTTCCTGAAGAAAGTTCAGCAACCTTAACGTGCTCGACATTATGCACAAGACGTGGACGAATGACATTCAGCTGTCAAAGTTCAAGACTGTCAAGGCCGAAACGTCCCGCCTCGAAGTGCTTCAGCAAATGAACCCAAATGCCTACGTATTCGTGCGCGATGTAGATTCTCCGAGCGATGTGTCGATTTTCCGGTCAGTGTTCGTGTACTTCTTAGTCGAAGCGACCAAAGAGTTCTTGGACACCGACGGTAGTCCTCTGACTGGTACGGGCTACGTCTTGGGCACACAAAGTATCGCTGTTGATCGTCCCAGCGACTGCATCCAGCGAGACGAAACAGGTCGCAAAATGGCGTGGGCTGAGCTCGCACTAACTACCGAAGCATACGACGTGGAGAACCCGATGACAGGCGATAGATATCAGCAAGTTGTATGGGCTGGCAGAACCGATTACCGCACAGAAGAAGACGCTCAACGGAATGCTGCTGACACGCTGCAAGGCCTACTTCGCTGGGAATGGAAGATCGTCGCGCCAGCGCTTAGCCCCACGCTACTTTGACATTTATTCCAAGTTGCAACAGCAAGCGTTTGATTTTTTTCGTCGCGTTAAAGTAAAATAAAGAAAACCTGTCAGGTGCGTTGAGTCTCCTACAGGATGTTGCACCACTCGTTGCCGTAGATGCTGGCGTTATTGAGTTCTCCGCAGCTGCGGCATCTCCAACTAGTGCAGCCTGCAGGAAGCGGGTACGGCACTGAGCACTTGTTGCAGAGCGCGTTGCCCTGTGCGTCACGGCGGATGTTGGAGTTGTTGGGCAGCACACGAGTCTGCACAGCGGCGGCGGGGAAGCTGCCAGCTGGGGCAGGAACAGCCTCGACTACCGGGCGGTCACTTGAATGGGCTGGCCCGTGGCCATCGGGTAGCTCGGCGCGTCCACGGTTTTGTGCGGCTTCTTTGGCGGGTCCATTGTTGGCAGTGTTCTCAAATTGGATTTTGGTTTATTTTGATTTTGGTTATACTGAACGACCCACCCATCCATCATTTTGTCGGGGAGGGTTTATTGGATTTTAAGTGAAAAGGAGGGTTTCCAAAGCAACTACTATTAATAGTAAGTTCACGTGCACTCATTGCAGACGCGGCTTTGATATGCATCCTTTGTCCGACGCCATCGCAGCCCACTTCCGAGCAGCCGTAGAGCAGCAGTGTCGCATTACGTTTAGACAAAGGTCACTAGAGCTAACGGAAGAGCTTGGTTAGAACTTTAAGGTAAAAAGACTAAAGCGTGCTTGACAGTTCTTCAGGAGACACGACTGTTTCAAAATTTGTGTCGGTTTTACATGATTGCCTATTTAGCTGCACTGAAATACTCTAAACCGTCCAGATTACGGTGAGTTGGTGGCGTATCAGCAAAATCAAAGTACATGCATAAGGGGTTTTGTCGAAACAGCGCATAATATTGCTATCCTTAAAAGGACATACAATTTTTTTTATATTGTAACCCCAACAAATTTTGTCCTAATCGAAATAAGACACAAGAGTGTCAAATATAATTGATTATGTCCTTTTAAGGATAGCAATATTATGCGCTGTCGTAGTAAAACACCCTGATATTTTATTCCACCCACCCACTTCTCCACGTCAAATTGTGGGTATTTTAGAACGCAACAATTTCTTGCTTAGAGCGTGTTCGCTTCGCAGCTGGAGAAGGAGACGACATACCTAACCTTTTTAATCTCTTATCTGATTGGATGAAATTGAATCGATAGCAACGAGACAACAGGAGACAAATGGCGTTTTATGTACTCTTTTTCTCCACCTCTCGGAGGTGGAGAAGGAGACACTTGGCTGGAGACGACTGAGGAGTGGCAGCGAGTCCATGGAAGAGGACGATCTTGTGCTGGTGGCATGTGCCGCTGTAGGACACGCCGTGGCATTTATTGCGGGCGATAGAGCGCCATTTCCTCGAAGAAGTCCTTCACAGTTTCTTACCGTGACGAGTTTGCCTTTTGACACGATGCTGCAATCAGCAGCGTATGCAAGCTGGTTTGAGGATAACATGCGTTGTACCAAGGAGACGTTTCTGCGGCTAGGCCGTTTCCTACAAGAGCATGGAATTCGGTTTGCTAACGCCAAGGTACGCCAGCACTCCTACGAGAAGAAGGTCGCTGCAGCTCTATACTTTCTAGGATCTTCTGGTGGTTATCGTGAGGTTGGTGCCGCTATGGGGATGTCGCGAAGCTACGTGAAGGAGATTACAGATGAAGTGATTCACGTGTTGAAGTTGGTAGCGTGTCAAGTGATTTCGTTTCCGCGTGACCGTAGAAGGTGGAATACTATCGAAGACCAGTTTGCTTTACGCCAAGGCTATCCTGGTGTTGTTGGAGCTATTGACGGATCGCTTGTTGAGGTTGAGCGTCCGGATGATTTTGACGGCTTCTACTGTCGTAAGAGCTATCCTGCCCTGAATGTTCAAGCAATCGTGACGATGGACAATTATTTTTTGAGTGTGGAGGTGCGCCCTGGGTCGTGGTCCGACCGCAAATGCTGGCAACATAGCGTCATCGCTCGAAATGTTTTCAACATTATCCCGGCAGGCACGCATTTTGTGGGCGATGCTGGTTATGCGTTGTCGCCTGGTTTAATGGTTCCATACTCCGACAGAGAAGAAGGTGGAGCGCTGACAGAGCGTCAGAACAAGTTCAATTATTTTCATTCCAGTACGCGCATGGTAGTCGAAAGTACATTTGGCCATTGGAAGGGTAGATTTAAAATTTTGCAATGCACGCTTAACCAAGACACGCCTCGTGATGCAAGCGACGTAATCGTTGCCACAATTGTGCTACACAATCTGATCATTAGCTTTCGAGATGCTGCTGCAATTCCTCGCTACGTGGAAGAAGACGACGACGAGTTAGTTTTCGACGACACTACGTGCTCGAGCCGCCAACGTGACGTCGCTGTGGCGAAACGAAATGCCATTGCTAATTTGCTTTGGCCATAATAGAGCATTTATAAAGCTGAAAGGTCAATCTGCTTGAGCTCCTTGTTATTACATTTTTCATGCAATAGACTCGCTACTCAGGCTGACGGGTGCTGGTGTTTGCAGCAAGCAGCTGCACCAAATTGTTCAATGCGAGCGTTTGGGCATGCACTGTTCGCGTCAGCTCTTGGACAGAGCCCATCATTTCCTCGCTACTACGCGCCTGAGCTCGAACAGTCTTCGTTAACTCCTTTAACGAGCTCAAAACGCCATTGCTTTGGCTGTCGGTGCTCTGCACTCGTGCTGCTTTAAATGCTTCAGCAATGTTGTTCAGCCCAGCCCCGATAGACATCATTCCCTCCGCTGCGTCGTCGCTGCCGCGTGAGCGTTTACCACGCGATTTCCAACCGCGCGATCCTCGCTGTTCGTCCCGGGTTTTAGCCCCATCATCACACTCAGCACTGGTATCACTTCCCTTGTACTGCTGCTGGGATCTGTCAGACGACAGGTAATGGCTCGAAGCATCACTAGAAAAGAAAGGATCCGAATCCATGCCATCATGATCTCTCCACACGTCACACATTGTGGCATAGCATGGCGGCTCTTTTAGCGGTTTATCGGTGGTGTTGCCCGTTGCTTCTGCAGCGACTCGATACGCTGTGTACTGCTTGTGCATGTATTTAAGCTAGGATCATATAATAAGCAAAACACTTGCACTCAAGTTAGCATCTCGTCAGCAACACATCAATACTCACAGTACCCTTGACTTGCACTGCTTCGCGTCAACAATGAGACCGCCAAGCCGAGAAGTCTCCGCTGCCACAAGGTCCCACGCGATGGACAGCTGCTTTGAGCTCTTGTTGCGGTGAAAACGATCGCGCATCATCTCGAAGCGAACGCGTAGCACCGCGTCAGTTGCCTTCGGCGTCCAGGGAAAGGTAGAAGGAGGACCCTGCCCAGCATTTGGCCCTTCACTCCCAGCAGCAAGTCCTCCCCCCACTTCGCCGTCACACAGAGTGGTAACCGCACCAGGAGGCTCGATGCTGCGTGGTAAGTCGACCGAAGGGGAAAGCGGCGTGTGCTGTGTGTGGGGGGTCATCGCTAAAGCTGTCTTGGCGTCTTGGAGTCTGCGAAGCCAGAGTGCCACAAGAAAAAAAGTGGTGAGCTATTGGTTGAAATGATGTCTGGAGCTTGAGCTGTAGCGAACGCTACTCGAGAAAGATAAGTCCTTTTCTCTACATCAATCTCTACCTAGGGCACAAAGCGAACACGCTCTTACAGGTAGGTGGAGAAAAAAATGAAGGCTGGCCATTTCTTAAACTGTTTCCTCTCAATAGTAATATTATAAATAATGCACTGTCCACGAATCCGGGTTTCGAAATCCCAGGAATCCCTGAGAGGCAAGGGTCCGCAAAATGGAGAGAGCCTCCATCCATAATGGGCCCATAGTCCATAATGGAGATACCCCATTATTCTTGATCTGACTATATACACAACAGAAAGTGTGGTGTAGAGGCACCATCGACGATCACCAACAAAACACACTTTCAATGCACTGTTATCGGTAGGTCATGTGTGATTATTACGCTGTTGCCAATGAATAGAAGACACTAAACGTAACTGGAGATAGAGCTTTGCACCTTTCACTTGTGCATTGTATTGACTAATATGGGTTTCGTCCCATTTTTCGCGATTTCATACATAATGGCCATAAATTTTGGCCATCCTTGTGGTCATACCATTGATTTTTACGTACCCCTGCCGAGAGGTCGCGACTGGATAGCATTAGTTACTCGGGTCACAAAGTGGGTATGGATCAGCCAATTTTTCGGCTCGGCCTTTAACGTCGGGTCTGAGGTGATAAGTGGATATTAAAACGTGTAGTAGTATTTTAACTAGGTTTTAAAGGATAGCTGTACCGTAGATGACAAAAAAACGACAAAAATCCACATTTACCGGTACATTTTTAAAAATGACAAAACGTGTCAGTTTTCAGCTAAATTCATGACAAAAACACACATTTTAACAATGTCTGAATGACAAAAGCGGATTCCATGTTTTGTTGATGTCATTCACGGTACTGACAGGAAAACGGATTGATAAAATGATAAAATCGTTTTCAGGACCCTTAATTTAAGGTGAGGGGCGAGAATGACTGGACGGATGACTGACCACCACACCATCCACGTAGCTGATCCACATGCGCAAGGGTTATTTCAGACCCGAACTATTAATAGTGCTGGATTGGAACACCGCTTTCCGATCATTCCGATCGCATTTCTGAACGTGTTACGATTCAAGTAAGTACGAGTTCATATTCAAAAAAGTACGATAGAAGTTTTCCACACCAATAGTAAAATCCAAGCCAACACGCCAATGCCGTTTGCACCTGTAGTAGCTACTGGCGACTAGTGACAGAAACTGTTACTGCTATGCGTGGTTTTGCTTTGCTTTATGCAACGTAAACTTTTATGGGTAGTGTGTAAGGATTGCACACGCAACCTTGCGTCTGCCCTGCTTGCCTGCAGCAAGCGAATCTACTTTGTGTGAGCGAATACCTCCGTCCGAACGGAGCTACTGGGTGCTACCTCTATGACCGCGAATCTGATGGAGAAGGCGCGTGATAATTCTCCCTACTACTCTTTAAGATTCAAGATCGTCCTGTGGTGTGCTAGTTATATCAAAGAAGTAGCGTATGAGGCCCAAGATTCAGTGGCGGACTCCTTTACTGCCTCGCAGTGTAGCCAGAGATCCAAGTCTTAGTCATAAACTGAATTCACTTTCAAATTTGCCTCGAAGGCCTCACTTCCACTTCTTACACTACCAGTCTACCCAGCTTTACTCGTCCGCACCCTCCAGCAACCTCCAATTCCTTCCAGCCCGCCGTGTCAGAACCAGCACTTGTCTGTAGGAAATGTGGACCACACTACATTGGACACCTACCTCGTAACGAGCTTGGTGTGGTGCACAGAAAAAAACGCAAGTTGCAGAAAGGGTGCGCTGAGCCTCTGTGCCCGCAGTGGTTTGTGAAGCAAGCCCCTGGAGAAAGAAGTAGCGTTGTGCCACCGTGCCCGCCTACAGAGCTGTGCTGGAAGCCCTCTGAGCGTCTGAAATCAAGATGGACGCAAATGTAGCTGCCCAAATTTTGGCAGAAGTGTCTTCAGTCCTGTACAAGCAGCAGGAGCTGATGGAAAAGATCGAGAGTAAGCCACCTGCTGAACGTAGGGTGGAAGGCATCAGTATGGTGGATCGCTTGGTGAAAGCCTAGAGCTTTTCCTGGATCAAGCCAGGTTGTTCTTTGAAGAGAAGAACGTAGCCTACACGCATGATGATAACCGCAAGCGTGTACTCGCTATCATGGTCTCTAACCTAACCGGACAAGCGGCTGCGTGGTATGTCACACAGCAACATGAAATCGTGGACATCACAGCGCTCGCTGCGGCTCTGCGCCGCGAGTTCATCCCGCCTGATCTGCAAGAGCGTCTGCGCGACTCTCGGTACCAGCTAAAACAGCGTGAGTGTCGTGACCTCGCCGAATATGTCACTAAGTACAGACAGCTAATCAGTCGTGTCAAAGACATGGGCGAGCTTGACAAGATTCTGCTTTTCACCCGCGGTCTCGTGTCGCAGACACGAGCCGAGGTTGTGTATCGTCGGTGCAGCACTGTGCATCAAGCTATTAATTCACGTACGCGCGTGCACACCCTATCCAGTGTGCATGGACCTCGCGGGTTTTCCCGATTGGCAGTTCAACGAACCCGGGCCACGAATAACCGTGGATGTGGTAGATTTGCTAGAAAACCGAATCCGTTTTCGACTCGTGAGTCACAACCCGAACCCATGGATATAGGGCTCAGCCGAATTATCTCAAGGGATGAGTGCCAAAGACGCAACATGTGCTTCTTCTGTAAGGAGCCAGGTCACCGCATGGCACAGTGCCAGAAGCGCATCGGCCAACGTGTACCTACTCGTCAGCCTCAGCGATAACAGCAGAGCTACCAGCATCAACGCGATCGACGTTCGACCCGGAGCAGTAGAGAAACTCCTACGGTCTCCAATCATCGCGTAAATGCCTACGAAGAGAAGGAGCAAGACACTGAGACTGAGTTGTTCGAGCATTTAACAATCAATGCGGCAGACTTTGGTGGAGGCACTACGGAAGATGATGTTAGTCGGATCCACCAGCTGCTGGCTAAGAAGGACTAGGTGGACGGTCACGCTGTAAAGGTGTTGTTGGACAGTGGTGCTGATCACAACGTCACTCGCCAAGGCCTAGCAGCGGAAGTGGTTCGGCGCAAGAAGGCGGTGGCAGAACGAGTTGATGGTACGACTACGGCACCGCAATGGATCAATGAAGTCAAGACGGACATGCAATTGGAGGGTTACGTTCTGACCAATAAGCTGTTTTCGGAGTGGAACTTACCTGCGACCCACGACGTTATTTTAGGCAAGCCGTGGTTCTCTCGATTTAACCCGGTCATCAACATGCGCACGCACGAGGTAACGCTTGATTTTGGCCTATTAAATCCAGAATGACTGATTGAGCAAGACGAGCTCCTATTTGCAGTCATGGAGGAAGGTCAAGCCGCCGGTCGCACGGAGTGTAACGCTGATGACTTGCGCAGGGTAGCAGAGCGGAGCGACGACGACTGTAATGGCAACAATGCGGTGGTATAAAGTCAAACAGCTAAAACGGTGCGTCAGGTTGTCGATTCTCCTTCTCCCGCTATCAGCCAATTACTGCAAGACTGCGATGACTGCTTTCCAGACGAGCTGCCCAATGAGCTGTTCGTATCGCGTACGGTTGAGTTTTCGCTGACAATGAAATCAGACGCGCGCCCAAGCTCACGCGGCCCATTTCGCCTGTCCAAGACCGAGCAAGACGCGCTGAAACGCTTTGTGGACGAGCTACTACGCAAGCAGTGGGTCGAGGTCTCAGACTCGCCGTGGGTATCCAGTATTTTCGCTGTACCAAAGAAAGACCCAAAGACAGGCAAAGCCCCATCGCGCGCGGAATGGCT